CCCCCCCCCCCTCCCGAAGCCGACGCGTTTCTCGGGTAATTGTGCTCGTTCACCGAATCCGACCCTAGACGCGGGGATGTATTTTAGTATCACGACGACCACCAGAGGGAGAGAAAGACCCGAGACGGCAGATACGTCTCGGTTTCGTGGTTTTTCATTACTGCGTAATTTCGTACGTACCCAATTAAATCCTTGTTTTTACGTCCTCGAAAGATCGATGCTCGATTAATCGCGTGAATCTCGACGGCGCGCCGAGAAGAGGGGTGGATTTAATTTTTCCCGTAAAATTACTCGTCGCGACATAATCGCCGAGTTGGCGATATCGCCCGAGAAACGGGTGATTTCGCTACGTTTTACGACGGATGACTAGGAGGTTTCGGACTCAGTGCCGAACTTCCTGCCCGAGCATTCCTTTTAAAATGACTCGTGGAAAAGTAGGCGTCGTAACTTTTACTGCGCCGCTGCTCAAGTTTAAATCGTCGATTGTGATAGGCGCTGTAACGTGGACGGACCTCGACGCCGTCGCCGTTGTGTTATAGGATACGATCTCCCTCATTATTCTTTCCTTATCTATTTACGTCTCCTTTCGTTCCACTGAAGGTTACTTTGTACGGAATGAATCGTGAAAGAGCGATAGCCAGTGTGTTATTTATACGATAAGCAGTGAAAGTCGTTAGGACTCGATCAAATTCGATCTTTCCGCATAATTATTCCGATATGACATGATAGTTTAGTTCCTCCCACTGCGGGATCGTGAGAAATAATTATTGTAGGATGACTTTCGCAAGGTAAAGTTTAATTGCAACTTATCTCACGCCTTATTTTACTTCCGCGGGTCATTTTCTTTCCTTCTTAAAGTAAGGAAAAATATGACTCTTGCTTTAACGGTTTTCCACTTAACGGCTTAAATATTTAATTGTCTCAATTATTTCGATATTCTTTCTTCTGTAACAAACCGGACTGTCACTTCGCTTCGGTAACTTTTCAGCACAAATCTCGTAACGTTTATTTTAAATTAAGAAACAAGAGCAACAATTTGTATTGGCTTTGTGAAAGGATGTTACGAGCGGAATGCGAGGTGTCTCCCTCAAGAGCCGTTTGACGCGAAAGCGACAAATAGTGTCGCGTAACCAACGTGTAACCTGCCCTTGGCATCGTGGCTATAATCGCAGTTAGTAAACAACTTTAAGCGGCCGTTGCGGAGTTAAACGAGTACAGCCCCGACGTGTTTCGTGTTTTCCCAGGAATGTCGGTTCCTGCGAACTGTCTCCGGTTTCGAGGATATTAATTGGCATGACTGAACGACACGTGGATTACATGAGGCAGATTCGCGGCTGTAGCGCGAAAACCGGTGCGAACGGTTACGTAGTTGCGCACCAATCTCGCGTACGGAAGACGCGACATTCGAATGATGTCGTGAACGAATCGATTCTTCGCGTTTAATTCAATTTTAGCGGCGAAAACGTTTTTTTATCGGAATATATATTTTTGTATCTATTTTTTTTTAACCGTAGTCCAAAAACTAAAAGTCACTTCAAAGCGATTTCAAAGGGGTTTTGCGTTTTCTCTCTGAAAAGAAAACTTGAACTTGAAATGGAAATATTTAATGAAAAATACAAATAAATATAAAATTTTCAAAACAATCGTTAGATAGTATCGCAAAAGTTATCATAGTTACTTTGATCCCCCCTCCCCCTTCTTTTCTCTTTCTTTTTCTCGCCGTCGGTGTGTTCGATTGGGATCCAGGTAATTTTATAATCTATCTTGCCACGCATGATTTTATCATCGCGCGAATAGTAACTCAAATCGCATTGTTAAATCGCAGCTTAGCCGAAGACGATCGCGTCGTTGGAGAAAACGATCATTCGTAATGGCCTCTGCAGCGCGTCGCATAGATAATGAATGTGGGGAGGCGTTTGCCATGCGTAGAAGCTAGTTCCGTTCGGTAATCACTCCGGTGTGCATTCAATCGGATTTCCTGCATTGTTTCAAGAGGGGGAGCGAGCGCATTGGTCAATGTCACTGAATCGAAGCGATGGCTTTTGCCTACGTGCGGTAATTTGTCGACGAGATAGCCGGCGTAATTAGCGAAATGTCAAAAGTAGAAAATACGTGACACGATATTTGTTAAAATGAAGAATGAAAGGAAATAGATGAAAATAGACGCAGTGACATCAAACGAGACTCATCAGTTGCGCTTAAGAACGCACAAATAAATAAACTTAATGAATAATATTCCGAAGTAGTATTACATGTTATTGGAAATATCGCTTACAAATATACACGTATACCTGTCGATTTTGCATTAAATTCTCTTTTATTTTTATTCGCGTCTGCAGAACACGCCACGTATATCATGCGTTAAAACTATATTTTATTTTGCTCTTCGCGGCGTGTGATTGTTTAATAGCTGCCAGTTTTTACGATACTCGCAGTCGATACATCGGCGCAATTCACCACGTTATTACACAGCTTCCGTTAATCGTTAGCGGAGTGGCGGTATTTATTTTCGGCGAGCGAAAATTCGGGCCGGTATTAAAATTCATTGAATCACGGCTACGTAAATATATTTGACTTGTCGAGCGGAACAAAATATCTCCGCATTTTCACATTCGCGATATAAATTTCCTTTGTTAACTTATTTATAACTTATTTAATTTTTGTGCGTGCGTATGTGTGTGTGTGTTATATTGGTACACAAGTATTATTGCATTCGTAAAAAAAAAAAATTATGGATTCGAACAACGAAGAATTTGAGGATCGCCGAACGAAGTTTCCGCTAAAATTCACTTCGGTTCTTGCAGAATAATTAGAACTATTGGACATTAGAAGTTTTCGAACGACGCCATCGCGACAGTGTGGAGCCGGCGGAATCGTAACGTAACTTCGCCACGAGCTGGCCGACCGTGCACTCGAAACTTGTCTCGAAATCGTTGCTTTCTTACGACGGACAGTTGGAATTCCGTCGTGTGCGGAAAGTTGTCGGCACATAATCGCAATTAAACGACAGGACATTGCATCCGCGATCGTGCACGGTCGGTCATCTAACTTCCTTACGAGTTAGCGAATTAGATTTCGAAAACTGTCGATTTGATCGTGCGATTTGATGTACAATTGGTGGCTGGGCGAATGGTTTCGAGTGTATATGATTGCGGTCAAACTTGAATATATTTAACATTTGGAATCTGAACACTCTGAACTTGTATATTCGCACTCCGAAATTATGTTATTGGATAATTTTCTCGATATGTAATTTCTTAAGGCCAAAATAATGCAATTAATATGAAATTGACGTCAAAACGATACTGACAAGCGCGCGCACGTCTCGTTCGCGTTCAAAATTGTTTGAACAGCCTTTGATTATCATTTAAATTTCCGGTAGATCAATTACGGATTGCGCAGTTTCAATTATAGATTATACGTATATAATCACGTTAAAATAAATCGATAGTCAATCAAATATATACAAGGTGGGCTATTTGTATATAAAATGTTACGAGTTGTTTTTTTTTTTTTTTAAGTCTCAATGATCCACCCTGTATGTGTATTCTTCTTTTAGATCTCGTTTCAACGTGTCTTCAACATCTGGTTTAGTCACTAAAATGTTGAACGACAAATATAAACGTAAAAAATCGAAGCTGACGTTCACCGTTTCTACGGCATCATCGGCATCGGGAAAGAATTGACTTCGTTTAAATAAATCTGACGAAAAAATCATGACGAGGTGCCTCGGCACCGCGCGGTACCCGCTACCGGTTACCGTAAATTAGTCACGAACCGCTGCGGACAAATGTCCGGCGATGGACACGATTATCGCAGCTCCGGACGGACGGAGATTCCCGGCGACGAGTCTCCGCCGACTGCCGCCAATTATAATATTTAATCAGACGTACGTAATTATACGTACGAGTGCGCGCACGCTGCCACCGAGAGTCGAGACGGGACGAGATTCACCGAGCCGGAGAAGTCAAATATTCGTATAGATATGATTGCATAATTCCACTCGGTCCCACGTGGCATTTCGGGGATTCCAACGCGAAAACTTTGATCCCGGAGTTTCCGCGTCTCCTTTGATCCNTCTTTCCCATCTTCCTCCCCCCCCCCCCCCCTTTCTCTTTCTCTGTGCAAGCGTCGTAATAGTAAATCAACTATACATTCTGTGGGAGCTAAACGGCGAAATTACGCGTTTACCTAACTTTCGCCTCGATACCAGGATACACATATTATTCACTCGCACGGGCTAATCTTTACACGCTCCCGCAGGCTTGTAAGTTACGTTGCGTTGCAGCGGCGCGCGTTTGCATAGCCCTCGTGGCGTAAGATGATACCGAATATTATTTAACAAACAGAAGCCCCGCGAACCTCCCGAGTTAAAGATTATTTGCCAAGAGGATGTGCTTGACTCTCAAACTGCACGGATTTGCATCGCACGCGAAGTAGGTTGCTTGCATACGTTCGATTCCCTCTCACCCCTTTTCCTTCGAAATTGCATAGATGTGTTGATAACGGGAACGAGACTCGCAAGCTGAGAGCTCATCCCAGGCCAGAATCCCTCGATCGTTAAGGATGATCGCTAATAAATTATAAGAGGAAGCTAGTAAATTATCGATTAGATATCGGTTATCCGATCTCACGATGCGATGTTCACGTATCTGAATTTCCGGTGGTTGTAAGCCGTAACAATAGGAGGGAACCGATCACGGTGCTTCGTTGAATCTTGAAAAGAAAAGGAGCGAGGGAGAACTTTAAAAAAATATTATTATCTTAAAGAAATTTACTTGCACTTGTTTAATAAAAATATCAGA